GCCCAATCGCTCGAGAAGGTCGTCGATGCGTGGGAGAGGGCCGGCGTTCCTGATCGTCTGCGTGTTGAGCTTGCGATAATCGATGCACAACCGCAAGTCCTTGTTCTTCTTCCGGACGAAGAGAACAGGAACACCGTATGACGATGAGCTAGGCCGAATCCAGCCTTTCTCTAGAAGGTCGTCGAGTTGTGCCCGAAGCACACTTAACTCTTCCTCGCTCATTCGGTAGATGCAACCGCGCGGAGGTACGGCCCCGTCCTCGAGGATGATCTCGTGGCGGATGGGTCGATCCGGTACTACTCCGTGCGGGCCTTCGAACACGTCGCTATAGGCATCGAGAAGCTGGGTGATGCGTGGCTCCGAAGGTGAGTCCGTCGATGAAGCGTCATGGGGCGGGAGGGCGTGGAGAAAACACCCCCCCATTTCCTCGATGTCGTCTCTAATGATGGAAGCTCGCATGCTTGCGGCGGATACCACGTGACAGCTGATCGAAGGGTGAGGAAGAGGCACCGTGCATGGAACTAGTACTCCGTCCGATCACGAATGTGAACGGTGCGGTGAAAGAAGTTCACCGGGTTATCCTCGCTTCGCAGCCATGACATGCCCAAGATCATGTCAAATTTGGTGTCCAGAATGTCAAAGGACACCGCCTCACTTGCGTGAGGGGCAAAGTACACTGGGACGTTGTCAATGCACCGGTCGATTGACTTGTGCGTGTGACCGTCTGCCAACGTGACTTGCGTAGGCTGGGASTTCCTCCGGRYGCGTGGGCCAAGGAYRRCGCGCACCATGAAGTCYTGGMTGATGTAGTTGCGAGATGCTCCGCAATCGATCAAGGCACTGCAGGTCGCCTCTCCAATCTGAATGCGTACGTATAGCAATGGTGCGTCGATGTCGTCGTACCGTTGTGTCTTGAACTCGTGGTCGATCTTCGCAATGTAAGTGTGAAGGTCGACAACCTCTACTCCGACGTCCATCAACGGAGCTGGTAAAGGAATGGCACTAAATCTAGAAAATGAGAGTGTAGGAATTGTGGTTTTTGGTAGTGATACTGCCATTAAAGAAGGAGATATTGTCAAACGTACTGGATCTATTGTAGATGTTCCCGTAGGAAGATACTGCAGTGTGCAAGTAATCTCGCAATTGTGCCATAAGCACATTGCAATGCGGTTTCGGCAATCGTCCGGTCGAGGGAACGGGCATCCACTGGAAGTCCGTGAACGTCAACGGGTCGAGCTCTTCAAGTCTTGACCATGACGTCGAATCCCCGACGATAGATTGCGGCGAAGCTGCCGAATCAGTTGTCGATCGTGATGAAACCGTGCATGCGATGGATTGTTGCACTTGGAGCGGTTGGTCCAACGGTGGAACCAAGTGGACAGCGTAGTCCTCGTAAGTGTACCAAGGACTTGCGACATTCGCATCCTCCCCAGATGTGCAGTAGGCCGCTAGCAAGGCGGCCGAAGCTGGCGGAGTGGAAGGTGGAGTCGCCTCACCTTCCGCGGAACTCAGTTTCCTGAGTTGAGGCGGGGKCGCACATYCTCCTTGCCCTGATCCTGGCACAGGGAGGTCTTGTGCTTGGTGCTGTTGCACCAGTAGCAGTTGCCATAGCGGCCGCGGACCTTGTACTCCGCCTCGGTCAAGCCGAACTTGACCCATGGGACTTGTACTGGCTGTCCATTTCCGGCCTGCGATGCGGATTTCGCCTTCCAATTGTTGCGGGACTTGTTGTTGCTTCGCGGCTGGACAGCAGCCACCTGATCTCCGTCACTTGATGCTGGAGTGGCTGTTGGGTTATCTCCACTGTCCGACTGGACTGCAGCGAACTGTTGCTGTCGCAGACCAGTTCATACCTTCTCCACATAGGTTGGCTGCCACGTGGACTTGTCGTGGGCAGCCGCCCTGTTGGTCTTGATGAGCTCTCTCGCCTTGTTGATTATCTCCGCGAAAGTGTTGTACTGCTCGCGATCACCAAGTGCGAGGCTGAGAGCGGCGCATGACCTGTTGTAGAACTCACGCCGCAGATGCGGGAATGGCAAGTCCAAATCGGGCGTTGCCACGATCTTCTCCCAATCTGTGAGCCAGTCACGTGTTGGTGTGCTCCCTTGAGCCATCGTGAAGATGCGGTTATGGCGAGTGTCGGGACATCATCGACGATGAACCGCTTCTTCCATTCCTTTGCCATGTCCTCCCAGGAGACCTTCTTGTACAGGTCTGAAACCTGGACGCCGTGGATGGTTGCCATGTGGCTGAGCCAGATCTGACAACCTCCCTTGGTGTTGATGAATAGAGCACTGATGAACAGATGGTCAGGGACTTCGTGAATCCCCAATTCCGTTGTAAATCCTTGCCACCAGACGACCGGGTCTTGATGTGTGTAGTCATCAAATTTCTCGATCCGGAACGTCGGCATCTTGTATGGTCTCGTCGAGCTATTGTTGTGATTGTGGTCTATCTGCTGTTGCTGATTGATCCTAGTGTCCAGCAACTCGAACCGCTGGCTGATGGTGGCCGGCTCTGTGAAGGCACTTATGTCTCCTAGCATTGCCACTACGTGGTCAACGCGTTCCTCCAGTTGGCGGCTAGAGGATGCACTGCTGGAAGCTCCAGCATCTGGTCCTGGTACAGCCTGTTCCAGGCCCAGTACACGGGCGTCCAGTGCCCGTGTGGAATCCTCGTGCTGAATCTTATGGTTCCGCACGGCCCGTTGAACGTTTGCCAGCTCGGACTGTAGGTGGTTACATGTGTAAACCAACCTGCTCACGAGCTTGGCCATGAACTCCTTATGATGCTCTTCCGGTGTTGGCTCATCAAGTACTTGAGTTTCTCGATGCTGTTGGCTTCATGCCGCTGCAGCAGAGCCTGGGCTTCCTTGCGGAGAGCCTGGGCATCTGCGTCTGCTTCGGCCTGTAGCCGCAGCTTCTCTGCTGTTGCCGCTTCGTCAGCCTGTAGCTGGGCAGCCTTGACTGCCAGTTCGCGTTGTTCCGCAGGCCCGTCATGTTGCTGACGTGGCACTGCTGATGTGGCACTTCTTACGTGGCACTGTGTCTGACGTGGCTCTGCTGACGTGGCACTGCTTACGTGGCACTGTGTCTGACGTGGCACTGCTGACGTGGCACTGCTTACGTGGCACTGTGTCTGACGTGGCA